TACATTGGTTGTAGAAGAATGAGTCATTACCATAATCCCACATTGGTGATAATGTTACTCCATTATATTGAGTAAGGTTTTGTCATTACAGATCAGTATTTTTTATTCCGCTATGCTACTGAGAGGAGAAAAAAAACACACAGAGGAAAATGGAATAATAGACAAAAGGGGATGTAGTTTTTTCATTTTTTTGTCCTTGGACTCTCTCTGTTTGGTTTCTCTCTAAGTACCCATTTCAGATTCTCTATCAATTTTCTTTTTCTACGACACCCGTTCTCTCCCTTCATTTGAGAGAAAAGGTAGAACAATGAGGTCACCAGTTCACAAGGCTGTGAAAAATATTTGGTTGGTTATTAACTTTGGTAATTAATTGTAAAGTTGCTTTACCTCCATAGTTAAAATTAGATGTGTCCACAAGGCTTTTCACAGATGAAATGATTATATGCTTTTTTATGTATTAAATTAAATATGCATGGTACTAGATTTGTGGGTTTTATTATTATTACTGATTGTACCTATGGTCCTCTCTCCCATATCAAGGAACCTTACCATGTAAAATCGAGAGCTATGAAGAATATGAATCAACTTACCATATAAAAGAGATTTAGAAATACTGTAGATATAAAACTGTGAATATAGTAACCTCCCTTAACTATTATTTATTGAAAAATGCTAGAGATCTCAACAACTCCAGACAGAGGAATGAATCCCATCTTATGTCAGCATCAATTTAGGCTCAGTAGCAAAGAATATCATAACACATAGTGATGGCCTGACAAAATACCAATATTACAATTTTTGGAAACAGTCATTAGATTGATGAACTAGCAAATTCCTTCATTAATAGCTAGTTTTGGCATAGCTTTGGTAACCTTTAGTTTGTATAACACAGTGAAACTATCCCTTCCCTTCCCTGCGTCTGTGTGTGTGTGTGAAAAAATGACACAAAAACAAAAACAAAAACAAGAAGAAAAAATGACAGTTCTTTAATATACTTAAAATTTTTGTGTAGCGGGGAAGACAGAAAAGTTAGGCTGTCTTATGGATCCAATTCAGCCAAGTTGTGTAATATTAAAAAGATGATGAGCATAAAATTGTTGAAAAAAATAGTATCAACAGGAGAAGATTTCATATTTATGTGAGAAGAGAGAGTCCATCATTCATGTTCATGGACGATTTTGTTGGATGCAGGCTCACTCTTCTTCTTGGGCCTCCAGGCTGTGGGAAAACCACCTTATTATTGGCTCTAGCAGGAAAACTAAACCAATCTGTCAAGGTTAGTTTTCCCAGCATATCACATCACATCACATCACATGATTTTAAAAGGAAAAAAAAAAAAACCTTTTTAAATTTTATGGGCTCTATAGACAGACGCCAAACAATTGCATTCATATGACACCACTACTGTGCTAATGCATAGATATAAATGGTGGCAATTTCTGCCAACCAATCTAATTATGAAGAGAGTTAGTAATATGAAACGACAAAGAAACATTATTATCAAAAATCATATCATTACAATCTTTTCAACATATTCAAATTAATAAGGATTCTATAGACAGAAATCTCAATCATGAATTTGAAAAAGCCAATCATTACAATGTTTGTAATGTATTTCATTTTCAATCCTTTTAATTTCTTCAGGTTGCGGGGGAAGTCTTTTACAACAGCTACAGGCTTGATGAGTTTGTACCTCAGAAAACATCAGCTTACATAAGCCAATATGACCTGCACAAACCTGAGATGACTGTGAGGGAAACGATAGATTTTTCTGCACGCTGTCAAGGTGTTGAAATTAGACTTTTAGTGACGTTTAAAAAACGCCGCTAATTCATTTTGTGACGTTTAATACCAAACGTCCAAGATGCAGCCGTCGCTGTAATTTTATGACGTTTTAAAAACGTCATGATATCAGTATAGGCGGCGTTTTTAGAAACGCCACAAAATGTCCCTCCCAAACTGTACCATGACGTCACTGATTTTAGCGATGTTTTCAAAAAGCCGTCATAGCTTTGGAGTTTAGGTGGCATTTAAAAACGCCGTGAAATCCTCTTTTTTTTATAAAAAAAAAATGGGCTAATTTTGTGTGATTGAACTAAAAAAATTACCCGTGATAAAACTGAATAGCCTTAATATGAAATAAAAACTCTCATTCAAACAGTAAATCCAGCATTAATTCACTTTCTCATTCAATTTAATATCCAATCACCATTACCCACAAAATAATATATCTAAAAATTAAATTCACAATTCTCAACCAAAAAATCAAATGGTTCATAAGCATAACCTTAAATAGCCTTTCTTGTTGGTTCCTACAAATCACCAGAAATCAAAATTGAGAGGCAAAAGAGCCTTGGTTAATTTCCAATTACATTTTCATATGCATCCTCAATTTTCTGGATAACATCCTGCCATCCCAAAGTGTTGTAATTGTACTCATAACAGTAAGACATACAAATAGAATGCTATGCTCCTCTCATAAACCACACATCATACAGATTCCTGAATCTGTCCATGTATGAACCCAGATAATGAAAAGAAAGACTTAACAGACAAAGCAGATAAAGCCAAATTTTGATTCAACTAGGATAGTGTAGAAGACGAAGAAATGGCATTGGTGGATTGAAAGCCCCAACTTTCTCGAAGAAGTCTTCATCCAAGTTTAAAGCCAGAGCAATTAAAGAGATCAACTTTTTTCCAGCAGTCTTGTGGCAGCAAAAATCAACACCAGCCAAAAGTCACACAGCCTTGTTCTTATCAACTAGACCAACACACCATCCATCCAGTAACACAATCAACCAAAAATTACAACTTGTGTTACAAAAGCTTTTGTAAGATAATTTGCTCACAACTCAGAAGCAATAGTAGCATAAAAATGTAACTCAGAAGCACAGATGGCAGCGGCAAACACACAAAACATTTAAGCATGTGGACTATGAAATACCAGCAAATCTGTTCTATATACACCCCCAGCAAATCTGTTCCATACAGATCAGAACAGCCAACAAAACAGCCAGCATATCAGTTCCTAATGCATTACTCAACCAGCACAAGATCAGAACAAGCAGCAAAGAGTTAAAGCAGAGCAAGACCAGCACAGATCAGCAATATCGGCAATAACAGCAATATGAAGATTCAATAATAACTCTATATTGTGTAAGAAATAAACTCAAACTCAAATACAAAAGATATATTTCAAATCACCACAATTACATGGCAGCTTCTATTTACACAATAAAAATGTCTCCTTACACCCTTAATTTGTTTTTTTATTTATTACAGTTTTATCTTTACATGAAATTACATTAAAATCCTCGATCTTTGCATGAAATTACATTAAAATCCTCGAACCCTAAAATGTTGAAAAGTGACAGTTTTTGCAGCTCAAACTTAGAGCAGATTCCCATCTTCAAAAAAAAAAAAAAAAAAAACAATAAAAGGCAACATGTGGAGAATAAATTAAATGTTGTGTGGTGACACAGTTTTTGCAGCTCAAACTTAAAGCAGTTTCCCATCTTCAAAAAAAAAAAAAAACAATAAAAGGAAAAATGTGGAGAATAAATTAAATGCTGTGTGGTGACACAGTTTTTGCAGCTCAAACTTAAAGCAGATTCCCATCTTCGAAAAAACAAAATGTACCTGTGCATATTTGTGTCTATGTGAGGGAGAGAGAGCTCTTGCAATAGAACAACAACCAAAAAGTGGCCCTTGCAATAGAACTCTTCTAATTTAGAACTACATTCAAGTTGGGATGAAAAAAAAAACAGAGAAAAAAAACAGCCAAAGACTTGGACCAGAAAATGTAATTATTACAGTATACTTGATATAACTGAAGTGATTCGACCAACTAAAATGTAATTATTATAGTATACTTGGAAAAATGATGCAAATAAATGGTTTCATCCAACTATAGTGATTTAACCACAACAACCCATCATTATTTAATGTAGAGTGTTTACTACAAATAAATAGCCATGTGTCACTCCTATAAATTGGTATTGGACTCCAAATAAACAAAAAGTCAATATGCTCGCTCATACATGAATTTATGCCATATTTAAAAGCTTAATATATAAAACTATGTAGCTGATTTGGCTTATTCACTAATTTCCAACACCAAATCACATCATGTCTTAATAGAATTAGAAAAGTGAGAAATTAAAAACTAGTAATGTTGGTACTTTTACCTTGTTAGTTCTTTTTCTTCTTCTCTTTCTTTGAAAGGTGAACCTATATTTAATAGGAATAAGTATTTTAATTAATAAGATATTGTATTGTCAAAAAAGCTTTGATTAAATGATTGCTCACATCTTGGGATGAAAATGCATGAGATTTTTGTTGATGTGACATTGGCCGAACAATGGGAAGACTACTAAGTGAATCAACAACCTATCATTCAATAAGAGGTTTAAGTTGTATAGTAGCTCTGCGCAATTTAAAGTAATAACTAATAAAAATAATGAAAATACCTGCTGCTGCCTATGTAATGGGTTCACAAAAAGCATGAGGATTTGTAAGTTATTTCAACTAGAGAGTGAATAAGAAAAAGACAGGAGATAGCACCGATAGTAATGATGTATTATACTCAACACTTTCTGTATACACAGATCTCAATTCACAACAAATGAAGCAGAATGGCAAAGCATCCATGCTCGAAACGACTGAACAAGGGTTTTCCCTGTACAAGACTGAACAAAGAATATAGTATCAATGATAAACTTCAGCAAAAACAACCACCACAGCCATGGATGAGAGGACAATAATCAAGATAACTAGTTAGTTGTGCAAGTTCATCAAAGTTACGGACAAGAACATGCAACCAAAATTTCTTAAATACTAGATGTCGTTAAATGTGTACAGAATTTGAACCACCATAGAAGGTATTTGGCTATCCATCATATTAAGAATCATTCAGCATTATAAATATATAAGATGAATGCATACCATTATCGGTTAAATAACTATAACAAATACCTGAGGGTGAGGCACAATGAAGGCATCCTATTATTGTTGACATAAGATGATACCCTGTTGACTTCAGTGCGACTGAAAAATATTATCATTGCGGTTGTTCAATATGATTGTATGAATACTCTTCTACTGCTGTATATATACATTTGATGTGAAGTATTCAACATTGTTCCTATTTAAAGACTTTAATTGCTTATATTCACCTAGTTCACACGAATGATGTTCCTTTTATCATTCCAGAATTCCTCTTTAGTCCTTGATGCTGTTAAAGCATTTTCATTTTTCTGGAAAAGGACAGCGTCTAGTGAAAAAGAGTTTTTGAGATCGAGAGTCATTAATGTCAAGTACTATAAGAACAACTCTTATTCGGGAAGGGCTTATACCATCTTGAAAGCCTTACTTGAAGAGAAATACCTCTTTAGTAATGAGAATCTGTAAATATATTAATTTGTAAGCTTGGCAGCATTCTATCATTCATTCTTCATAATCTTTTTATCTATTACTCATTGGAACAATTGATTTCCATATTTATTTGTATGCAGACAGTAAGTTTCGTTTACAGTCGCATCTTTCACTCTTATTTCCTGCTTAAAGCCCCTAATCTTGTAACTGGAATAAGTACAAAAGATTCACAAACTTAACTCCTAAAAATCAGCTAGAGCCATTAAACCTTGCAACCCTAACAACAATGCCATTAAGAAAATTATAATATGTGCATACATCAGAATTGGGACCAAAAATCAGATCAGCATAGGAAAAAAAATGCTAATATTGTTGATGCTAATTTAGGATATAAAACAGGGTAATAAAAAAACTGAGAGTGAAAAATAAAGAACACTGGTTGAAAAATCAGTTCTGGTGATCTGGGGAAAATAAATGAGATGTGTAAAACACTGATTGATCAATCCAAACTGATCAATAAAAAACAGCGATTAAAATTCTTCAAAACATTGATTGAAAACCCTAGGAGAAGAATCGACGGGAAGGAAGAACTTGAGAGAGAGAGAGAGAGATATACAGAGCTTGAGATTTTCTGAAGCGATGGTGCTCACCTTAGTAGATGATGGTGCTCACTCTCCTCGCCGGACATATCTGAGATTGAATCACCGAGCTTTGAAATCGAGACAGAACTTCGAAATCGTCAAATGAATCTGAGATTGAATCACCGAGCTGAAGAAGGTTGAACTTCGAAATCACCTTCAATCGATCAACAGATCTTCAATCAATCTGATCTAAGAATGATAAAGTAGATAAACCCTAGCATACTTGAATCGAATGATTCCATCAGTAAGTATTATCTTCAGTTGAACTTGAATGTGAGAAGATAGAGATGAGACTGATCAACACTTACCGTGAAGAAAGACCTGCGAACTCGAACAAGAACTTGAGATGGCACATCATGATGAATCGACGATCTATGAATACTTGAATCGAATAAACGAAGGGGTGAATCGAATACTTGAAGAGAAGGGTTGCAGATTAATCGATTAATAAATGAAGGGTTTTGAATCGAGAGAAACGAAAGGGGGTGAAGCAAGAGAGAGTGAATTCAAGGGTATAGTGAGAGCGAGAGAGAGAGAGAATAGGCTATTTAAGTTTACATTAAAAAAAAGAAAAAAGAGAAAAACATTTGAAGGCGTTTTCGGAAGTTAAAACGGTGTCGTATTGGTCAATAAGAATGCAACGTTTAAGAAAACGCCGTAAAATATTAGAAATAGAGGCGTTTTTTTAAACGTAAAACGGTGTCGTATTGGTCAATAAGAATGCAACGTTTAAGAAAACGCCGTAAAATATTAGAAACAAAGGCGTTTTTTTAAACGCCGTCAAATCAACGCCGTTAAATCTTACTTTTCTTGTAGTGTGTACAGTTGTATCTAAGGAGGGCTACCTAACAGTGTTGGTATATTGTAGTTTTTTTTTTTACTACAATTTGTAGTTTTCTTATATATTATTATCACTATCAGGTGCGACCCATTTGTACCACAACAAAATAATTAAATAAATACTATATGAAAAACAAATTAAAATTCTATAAGGAAGACTTTGTTAAGTTGAGATAGAGGACAGATGGGCAAAATGGGTGGTTGAGAGATCTTCTCGCTCTAAAATTTATATCTCCCGATTATCAATATATTTTCAATTGATTGATAAAGTAAAAATCTCAAGATACAATTGTGATTAAAAGTATATTGGAACAAATAAGCATATATTTGTTTGAGGATGGAATATAATGACTTGTTTGGATGAGTCATGGTTTGTGCAAGTATTGATTCACACTAAAATCAATGACAAAACGGTGTATTTCTCAATACTAATGTGGATAATTTTTATATGTTGCAAGCAAGCTATGTTACACATGGTCAATTGCCCATTTTAAGAGAAGAGTAGCACCAGCACCAACATATGCATAGAGGTCAAAGCCAATTTGCTTGTGTACTACTTATGATTTAAACTTTGGTAAAAAAAAACCTACCGATACACTTGTGAGTGTGAGGTCAACTTAGTCACAAGTCCAACTCCCTAACTTTGACAATAATAACTTTCTTTGTTCACTACTTGGCATATGTGTTTTGTATATTAACTTCACAAGAAAGCAAAATAATAGAACTCCTCCCAAGGTTAGTTTGAAAAATCAGATTAGCTTCTATTTAGACTCATGTGATGTTTAGAAAGCAAATAAAAAAGTTATTTTTTAACTGAACAAGTCAAAATATTAGAAAGAGAAGTTGTTTAAAAGTCACATAAGAAAAAAAAAAGCCTAAAATTTTCAATTCAAATTCTATAAGAGAAGTTTTATAGCTGTTGTTGAACTTACAACTTCACTCACAAAATTGACTGAATTTTGAATCAAATTGGAGAGAAGCCATGTCTTTAAAAATAACATTTTTAAAAAATCAACCATCAACTCATTTTAACCTAATATTTTACCCCTAATGAGCCAAATCTATCATTTTACCCTTATCATCCCAAAAGTCATCAAATAATCCAATATGTTAACATAAGGTACAAAAATTGCTCGCGTGAATCAGATAAGCAACAGTCCAACACTAGAATACACTTGAATGCATAAATTGCTCAAAATTTCAATCAACTTACCTATTCCTCGTGCGAAGCTGCGAATGCGAAAACCAACCGGTTCCTGAAGCCATGACGACAGAGAGGAACTAGGCCGAGGCGGAGCTCCCTGGGACAAACGATGCTAGCCGAGAAAGTGATTTTGTGAGGGCGTCGGAGAGATTCAAAGGGAGCTCCCTGGGATGCCGTCGTTTACCATGCTCACAGTCGCGAGAGCGAGAGAGAGAGAGAAGAGAGAGAGATGGGGATATTTTGTAGAAAAGACTAGGGATCTATCTATACTCTATGTAGTTGTTTTGTCAAAAGCCTCCAAATATTTATTCTTAAATTCTCATAATTTTAAAACACTCTCTTTTTTACGTGGCAATTTTTTTTGATTGCCTTTCATGTTTTCTATTTTTTTTCATTTTTTATTTGTTTGATTAATTAAAATTAAAATTAATTTCATTACTTATGGATAAAGATTTGAATTTCAAAATTCCTCCATATAGATAAACATATAAAAACTGAAAATTAATTTTATAATCTACAGATAAAGATAAAAAATAAACAATTAATTTAAAAAAATTAATTTCATAACTTATAGATAATTTAAAATTTCTTCCCATAAATAAACAAATAAAAGTTGATAAATAACTTATAAAAATTAATTTCATGGCCTACAAATAAAGATAAAGATTAAATAATTGATTTTTTTTTTAAAAAAACAAAATTACTCTCTTTTTTTCCCCCTCATTTCGTACTTTAATTAATTTCATTATAGATAAACATATAAAATTCATAAATAATTTATGAAAATTTATTTCATGACCTATAGATAAAGATAAAAATTTTAAAAATTATTTAAAAAAAATAATTTCATGACTTATAGATAAATAAACATGTAAAAAATTGATAAATAATTTATAAAGATTAATTTCATGGCCCACAAATAAAGATAAAGATTAAATAATTGATTTACAAAAAATTAAAATAATAAAATTTAGATAAAGATATGATTTGTTAATCTATATATCTATCAAAAACATATATATCTAAATATTTATTTTGATTTACTCTTTTTTTTTTCTCCTATCACATATTATCTTTTTTTATTTTAAATTTTTTATCTTATGAAATGCTCTTATCTATAACTTCTTATCTCCTATTAAATTCTTAACCTTCTCTTGGTAATTTTTATTATTCCTTATTATCTACCAAATGATAAAGATTATAAAATAA